TGTTTTCACTGTTCAGCAAAATGATGTGAAACACCTACCCACAGTTCTTTTACTTATCCCTCAAAACTGATCTCATTTTCAAAGTACTTCAAGCAGCTGTCACACAAATTCTTCACACAGTAGCTTTACCTTCATCCCAACAGAAGCCCATCAAAAAACCAATGGTGGTAATGACCCACTATCTAAGCTACAGATTTCTTTATTCTTCTATAAAACTTAGAAGACCAAACACTGCAAGGACTTCAAGCCCTGGAATCTAACATTCCAGACGAGTAAAACATAGAACTAGAAACCACTCCAAAACTAAAAATAAAATGTAGAACCAGGAAGACCAGACGCCCTCAGCTGAGAGACAATTAAAGGAAAGAAGATTCGAAGACAGATGCCAGCACTTTATTAGACTCAGCAAGTCTGGTGCCTCCAGCATCAGTGAGTTTCACTTGCTGATGATGCAAGAGTTCATGCCCCTCAAGCTGTGGCATTAGTAGGCATGTATCACTAAGAAAAACCAAAAAAGTCAGGCTTCCATACAGAAAGTTTAGGTCATCCCCTAAGTTTTCCATGAAGTATCTCACATTCATTCTCAATAAAACACTCTTTAACAAAACTCAACCTTAATTCTATGAGTCCACTAAAGAATCAACATTTGGCTTTTGGCTAGTCCAAGCAAAACAAGCGAAACCATCAATGACACAAGACTCCACCTTAATTAAAAACTCATATGCAGTGCGCTGGTAAGCAGAAAGCTTACTTCTGAAATAGGAGTAACTTCATTTTTGCATATGTCAAGATGCAGATTACAACACTTCCCCAGAAGAGACAGCAGAAACCACAAGGATAAGCTGAGAAATGAACAGTTATTCTATCACTACACCTGCATTTTCATTTCCCAATCTTAATCCGCATTCAGGAACACAACTTAAAATGCATTTACATTAACAGCCTGATGTCCTCCTTTACAAAACAATAAACGATTATGGCAGTTCTTTTCTTATATCCAACCATGAAAACAAGCACTTAGATGGCCACCAATGTTATTTCCAATGCAAAACTACGTAATCCTATTTTGTTATTAAAAAAACCAAAACAGCATAGCCTAGTTCCTCCAATATTAATATTCACTTTTGTTTTAAAAGAATAAAAGCAACAAGCTTTGCTCAGTTAAGGAAGATATTCCTTCAGAAGGAACAAAAAACCAGTATCAACAGTGCCTTCTAAAAACATAGCAAGGGTCGACCATCAGTGTGAAGTGTTCACTCCACAAGTCCCAAATTTTTAATTAAAAAAACATTTATTACAACAAAATATTACAAACAACTAGCTTCAGTGATCAAAGAATAAAACTTTACAAAATGCAAACAATGTAATTTTCCATTGCAGAGTGACAGATATTCCAAGTTTGCAAACACATCTTTTTGTTTATGCACACTCAAAAATCATTTCCAGTCTCCTTTATTTTCCATCACATACAGTACATTTATCCAGACAAAAGCATGTACATTCAATATAGAACATTGTGAGCAACAGCTACAATCTCAGTTCCCATTCACAGTATTTTTAGTGCAATGCACTAACAGGGCCAAATAGTTCTCTATCCATAAAAGTATTTTTACTCCTGATCTTGTGATCAACATTTAGATATATTTTATACAAAAAGTATATATGAACACGAGGCACCTCCCTAAGTAAGGGAGTGAACCTATATACAAAACATGGTATTTCTTCTGATGTACAATACCTTCAAACTGTAGCAATTTGACACAAATCACTAAACAAAATATTTTCTAAAAGGTAAAAAATAAATGAAACAAAACCCAACAACAACAAAAAAACCAAACCCAAAACAAAACCCATGGACACATGAAACCTGCCAAGAATTTCATTATGGTAGGTACATGACTGTTTTACTACAGTTTTGATTAAAGGGTTAAAAAAAGGTACCTAAAGCATTTTCCAAACTACAGAAAAGTCAAGTGCTACCCATAGTGGTCATTTATGATCTTGAGAGAAAATATGTTTTCAGTTTCTCCCATACTATCCTCCCTTTTTATTAATATTTAATGCAATAAGCTAACATTATAAGTGGTTGTGCATGGATTGTCTATAATACATCAGCAAATATTCACTACCTTCATATTAACATTAGTGTGTTGATCTTTCAAAAATAAACTGAAAAATAAACTGCAACTATCATTAAAGTGCTTGTGTATATTTTTTTTTATAAAACATTAAAAGAATAGAGGAATGTGGATATTCTTGTAAACTTCCTACATGTTTACAAAGTTTTTCTGTGAACCACATATGGAAACAAAATGGAGATCTTTGAAGCAACTTCAGCACAGTGAAATTCAGAATGTCCCAGAACTAGGAAATTAGTTAATATGAACAAACTGATGTTATGGCAAATACTAAAAATTAGTACAACTCAGCCAATATACACTACATTGTTTGCTCTTATACATTCATTTGTAATAAATTTAAAACAGTATATAACACAACATTGACTTGGGAGTGACAGTGGATGAGAAGCTCACCATGAGCCAGCAGTGTTTGCTAGCAGACCAGAAAGCCAATCATATCTTGGGCTGCACCAAAAGGAGTGTGGGCAGCAGGTCAAAAGAGGTGATTCTCCCCCTCTATTCTGCTCTCGTGAGACCCCACCTGGAATACTGTGTGCAGTTCTGGTGTCCTCAACATAAGAAGGACATGGAACTGTTGGAGCAAGTCCAGAGTAGGGCCACGAAGTTGGTAAGAGGACTGGAGCATCTCCCCTATACGGACAGGCTGAGGAAGTTGGGGCTGTTGCGCCTGGAGAAGACTGTGGAGACCTCATAGCAACTTTTCAATATCTGAAGGGCCTACAAGGGAGCCAGAGAGGGACTCTTTGTTAGGAACTGCAGTGACAGGACAAGGGGTAACGGGTTCAAATTGAAGGAGGGGAAGTTTAGGTTAGATATTAGAAAAACATTTTTTACTGTGAACGTGGTGAGACACTGAAACAGGTTACTCAGGGAAGTGGTGGCTGCCCTGGCGGTGTTGAAAGCCAGACTAGATGAGGCCTTGAGCATCCTGGTCTAGTGGGAAGGTGTCCCTGCCCATGGCAGGGGGGGTTGTCTCGATGATCTGTAAGGGTCCATTCCAACCCCTAAAACTCCATGCTTCTATTTACCAAAGTATGATATCATGGCAAAGTTTGAGCTGTCCATCACTTGGCACTACCAGGGAGGACCAGTATGCAGGATGAGCTTTCTGAAGATGATTTCCTACATGAGGAACAAAATCCTTCTTCCAAAGCTGCTGTTCATTTACTTGCCTCTGGTGTACTTTCCTTCATTTCAGAAAGTTTGTTCTATACTGTGTCAAACCACAACTGCATAGAGATAACTGCTAATTTGGAAGCATTTCAACTACTTTGGTGTTTTGGGAGGTGGCACTGTCCTACAAGCAGTCAGAATGGTTATCAATATAGTGAGAAAAAACCAGCCAATGAAAATATTTCTTCTTTATAGTACCATTATCAAGAATTAGAGGTTCCAATAACAAACTAAAGTCTTTTTCATTCAAACGAATTTCAAACTTTCCGAACATCACTTGATTCTATCTGAGGAGAAATGGGAATAAATTAATACTTTAAGTTTACCCATATAGTTCTGTTTTAAATTACACAAGATAAATAATTTATAAGGCTAAATTTTTAATTCTTATTCAAAATGCAGAAGTCACTCCTCTTAAATTCAGCATAATTCAGGGTCCAACTTAGATAATTTTTGAAGTTCTGTCCCACTCAGCCAGGATTTGTTAGAAAGTCACCAAAGCACCAGATTACAACTTAAGATAACTGGGTGGTTATTCACTATGAAAGCTGAACTCAAATCAAATAACCTCCTGGAAAAATAGCATTTCAGAGTTGAAATATAGAACAAGGCACATATACTCTGTTTTCTTTTTACCAAACGTGCTAGAAAGATAACTCTGAATAACAGTGTTAAAAGCTCTTAGAAGTATCACTACTGTCTCTCTCCATCATAATTTTCTGTACAGTCCTCCAACCTTCAGGCACCAGTCAGTCATTCTGAAATACAAACTGACCACATACAAATATTTCCTTTTTTTAAAAGGTCCCTTACAAATAGGCCACCATTAACATGAAGGCTATGGAAAACAGAAACTATGAATACAACCCCTCCAAGGGTAAAAAAGTCCCAGAGTACCATATAAGCAGAAGTTTAGAAAATTCTTGGCCAGACTTCTATACATATTGATGCTTAAAACAAAAACTTTGATAAGACTAGAACAATTTACAAAAATTAAGGACGAGAAGTCTCCAAACCTGGGCTTATATGAATAAGCATTAAAAGAATGAAATCCTAAATTTGATGATTTCCAAGTTGTTTGTAGGCACCTAACCCATACTGATTTTAAATCAAAGCAATTAAGCATCCAAATTACATTCAAGAAAACTGTTCTATGCCCTTTTGTTGACTGGGCATAGGCAATACACATTAAAATAAAGAAAAAATAAATGCATGAATTCTATTTCCATAAATTCATTGAGACTTTTTTATGTCAACAGCTTTTACTGTAATAACTTTAAGAAATACTAATTTCTTTAACTGGTCACAGCGAAGTTAATTAACAAGTTATTCAAACCAAACAAAATTACCGTTGATTTAAAAAACCTACTATTTTAGAAATGTCTATTAGCTTGATTACAACAGACCCCTTAAGACAAATCAAAGAGCTGACTCAGTACAATTTAGTCTATATTCCAGCTTCCTACAATGACAAATTTGGATTTTAGCACTTTTTCCAAAATGCTAAAATCAAAATGTAAGAAGCAAATTTGACATCTACCTTTGTATTTAAGCCATTTAAACCATAAAATCTACAGGAAAATGTTTTCAGCAAGAAATCAACGACAGCAAAAGAAATGCAGTGGTATTGTTGGGGTTTTTAACAAAAGAAAAAAATGAAAAAGACAATACACATTTTCTTTTTCCTCACCAGACAACAGCTTTAGATCTTGTACTTCTGCCTTTGGTTTTATTGTCTTCAGGTGAATGTGATACATTTGCTTTGTGGGTTTTCTTATGATGTTCTAGAAAAGCTTTTCTGGCAAATGCTTTCCCACATTTATTGCAACGGTGCAGAGAAAAGTTTTTTGTTACTTTTACTTCAATGCCAACATCAGCTCCTTCATACTTTTTATTGGGAGAATTAGAGGTGACATCCTGTTTTGAACCAATCTGTTTTGTTTCATCCCTCTGAGGGCCTCTTTTTGTCACCTTATTTAGAACAAGATCAATTGGCTTTTTTATTGCTCTAATTTCTAAACTGGCAGTTATTTTCCCAAGGTAGCGTGGTGACTTTTTATGAACCACAGTTATGTGCCTTATCACATCACGTTTGCGACGCGTTTCGTAAGAGCAGAGTGGACACCTGTAGTATTTAACATAAATATTATTTCCGTCTGTGTGTAATTCAATGTGTTTTGTCAAGTTCTGTTTAGAAGTAAATTGGCGTTTACAGAGTTTACAGTAAAGCTGCTTGAAGTCAAAGCCAGCTGAAAGTTTTGGCTTCCTGGTTTTTTGCTGGCCACCTGCAGCAGATGCATTGGTTGATTTAGAGGTTGATTTAGTGGCTGATTTGCAGGTTGATTTAGTAGTTGATTTAGAAGTTGATTTAGGGTTTTCAGGGTCCTGTTTAACTTTATTTTTCTGTGCTGACGGTGTGTTCTTTTTCTCATTTGAATGATTTGTTCCCTTTAATTCATTCTGTGGAGAAAGAGCAATGGAAGGGGGTGAAGGTTCCACAGAATCTGCTGGTTCAACTTTTACTTTTATTTCCGTGCCGTTGGCAGTATTGTTGGGTCCTTTTTCCCTTTTAGAGTTCTTTCCAGAAAGCGTTATCTTGTGAACAATTTGCATGTGCCTTTTCAGCATTATTTGTGAACTATATTTTCTCTTGCACAGAAGGCATTTGCATGCAGTTAAATTGTATTCAGCCTTTGAAGACGACTTTTGTTTACGGGTCTTAAAAGATTTTTTAGCAGAAACTGTATCCAAGAACAAAGGCTGCCCAGGCTTTGTAGCTATATCAGGAGTAATGGAATCCCTTCTTAATCCCCTGTGAACTTCATCAAAATGCCTCCTTACATTGGCTTTTGTAGCAAATGATTTATAACATACCGGGCAACTTCTACCTAACGTTACGAGAACATTCTTATTTCGGCCTTTTGCAGAGCACTGGTTTGGTTTCTTTTTTGTTTCTATGTACTTCTTTAGCTCTTCCATCTTTTTTTTGTGCACTTTTCGAATGTGCCGGCGGACACTGCGTCTCGAATGAAATTCCTTCCTACAAAGGCAACAAATCAACTGGTGGCCAAAATCAGAGTTATCCAGAGAGTCCAACTCGGGATTTACTGTTGGAGGCTGTTCTTCAGGAGCAGGTATCACCTTGTTTGTAACAGGATCAGCAGGAGGTAATTCTACAGTCTCCCCAGCTGGGACTGGGGCTGGAGTTGAAACAGTCTTGGGTTGCTCAGTGCTGGCTTCCTGTATCTGTACTGGAGCTTGATCAGGGGTATTGGAACTTTCTGTGTTCTCATCTGGGCTATCAGTCCTTGATACATATTGAAATACAGCATTTTGATTAGTTTCTATAGGTTTCAATGTAATTACATATTCTTGCTTATCTACTCTTGGATAGATTGCTTCGAGGAGGTCATTTATGGCTTGACTCTGCTTATCATTTATATCTGGGAGGTCTGTGAAAAGGGAAAAAGGTATTTTTAATGATTTAATAATTTCCAATTATTTAAATTTCAAATTAGCTTTTAACCACTGTGTGAATCCAGTCTCCAAATTTGCACAAATCCTGTGTTTGTACTCTCTGAACACTCAGAGGCTTTGACTAGTCCTTACAAGATGCTTTTTTATTAAAAGCCAACACTGGAAACACACCCTTCTAGCATGCTAACGTGAAAGCCACCTGAGCTCAAAAATTGTATGCCTGGAATTAAGCTGATCTTTAAAAATCTGTATCAATTGCAAAAATAACATCATACAACTGAGCTTGTTCTGCAGGTGTGCAACTAAGCCTCAAGTACCATTAGAGACCGATTTTCCTACGGCTGGATATGGGTGCTCTCAATAAAGGAACCTAATTCTGGAAATACGCTCTTCTCTGTGAATTCTGAACAATCCTTACAAAAAATGAAACATCTGTGCAACCTGAGCATTGCATGAAGGTATAAGTAGATAATATTTTACAGGCCTCAGTAATATTCTGCTTTTAAATGCCAAATCAGTTCAGTTGTCTAGTTCCCAGCATGATAGGCTAAGCATCTGCACTGCACTGAGAAGCCAGGGTGCAACAGCAAAATGATGAGACACTGAGATGACACAGTTAAATCATCATGGATAATTTTGAAGATTTGATTCCTGGTAATAGCTAATTAAAACCCCACACCTTTAGTTAGTTGTTCCTTCCACACTCGCAGCAATACATAAGAAGTGTGTCAGTAGATGAAATATATTGTTTTGTTGCTCAGAACTCATCTTTTAACACTAAATTTTTGACAGCTTTTGTAGTCAGTTTCAAATCTATGTAATTATTACCAAGAGTAAAAAGTCCTTCCTATTTTATAGCACTTTCTAAGACTACTTTGTGACTATACTGACTGTATCTCAGAAAAGTTACCATGGAAGAGTCTTTGGAATTTTTCATCATAGGGTTGCTTAACTTTTATTCCTGCCTCTTGTTCACTACCTTTTATTTATTGAAAAAACCTCTCATTTAATTCACTAATAATTATACTATTATAAAAAATATTTCTACAGTTTTATTCAGAGCATATAGTATCATTCCCTTTATTTGCACCTCTCACAGTGAACAGTGAGAGTTATGTTATTTATATGTTATTTCATATAATGTACAAAAGTTAATAGAATGAAGGCTAGAATGTCAGGAGCTGGACACAAAGTCTTTCCTCAGGGTAATCTTCCCATGCTTAGAAACTAACACATTTAAGTCAGATGCAGTTCTACCCTTGCTTTGAAAGTACAAGTCATCCCTTTTCACAGAAAAGCTCTGTGAGTCTCGAACTGGCCAAGCACACTCATTTAAGGAAGGTGACAGTAACAGTCTTTTCACCTTCTCCTCACAACACTAAATGACACCACGTGGGAAAAGAATCATCTAAGTATATCTTTTGTTTGTTCCTAATTTTTGAAATATTGAGGCAGGAAGGCATTTATCAGGAAAGAACAATCCTCATTGCACCTATGCTGATCAAGAAGACCAAGAAAATCAGAAAGCTTTACAAAATATTTTTGAATACTATCAGCTTTACTCAGATCAACAAAAAGTCATCACTGGAATGACATTTTAAGAAATTTCTTTTTCCATAAAAATATGCTCCATGATTTTTTTCTCAGCATTTAACTTACTTCTTTTAATAATAAGGTTTGATTTCTACAAGAAAGGTGTCGGGGTAGGCATGACAACACAGAATACACTAAAGCAGCACGAAGTGAAGTGATGCAGTGGGAAAGAGACAATATTGAAGCACAGGCCCTTAAAGAAAAGGGTAAACTTCTAGTCTTTGTTTCATAATGAGTAAGACTGAAAGATTGCATCTGTGACACTACAAGTGCTTCCCAAGTAGAGGAGAATATTACAGTTATTGATCCAAGCCACTTTACAGGATCTAACTCAAATCCATCAGAGCTCTGAGGATCTAAAACTGAAATGCCTTGTTAGAGGCACTCGTTTTTGTGGAATTAATTTCCCAGTCCTTTGACATACTTTCTGGTATCTTTCACAGTAAAGAGGGAGGGATAGGAAAGAAAAAACAGGAAGAAGGAATAAAATGTATTAAAAGTGACACTCTTAATTTAAAGGCTGGATGTATAACCTAGCTGTGCAATTATGACATTGCATGGTTCTCAATAAAGTTGGTGCTATTGCTTCTTTAATACCATAAAAGTGATCTACATATGTTACTACTGAAATTTAATTCCACTTCATTTTCTTGCATTTTTGTTTCTGATGTTTATGCCTAAATGGTAAAGAAAGATAAGGTTTTCAACTTCAGACAACCTTATTAAATATTTCAATTTGCCAGACTTACTGTCATCCATCTGGAGACTTGGAGGACAATAAAACTTTTTATGAGTAATTAAATTTGGTAATCCTCTGAAGAGACTCCGGCACAATTTACACTCAAAAATGGTGTCCACATCTTTTAACAAGATATGTTTAAGTTGTTTCGTTCCTGTAATAAAAGAAACATTATACTTAAGGAAGGTTTACTATCCATCTTTTAATTCACATCATCCCCTAGAACAGGAAACATTTTACAACATGAATATTTATAATGGCATTTTATCTTTTGCTAATGCTACTTCATTACACTGTAAGTCTATGATACATACTCCAAAATTCACTATGAAAACAAGACTGAATGAGGAAAAAAAGTCAAGGATTACAAATATTACAGTTTATAGGGAAAGTGCAAAGATTTATAATAAAAACTAGCTGCTAACATTAGGAAAGAATCCATACTATGGTATTTGGTTGCTACAAGACAACTGCCCAATAGGAAAGAGGAAAAACCTACAGCATTTAAAGAAGCCTGTAGTATTTCTTCTTTAGGCTTAGCCAACAGTGCTAAGAAAACAAGATATATACAGCTATTTCATGTAAAAACAGCACCTGGTAAGGCAAAAAAACCCTTAAAACATAAAACAACACAAAAAGAATACTTAACAGGCCAGGATCATTTACTACATCTAGGTATATGACCCAAGACCAAGATGATGATGCTTAGGTGAGACAGTAGAAGTGTAGATATATATTCAGCCTGAAGAAAGGACACTACATATGATTTAAAGCCCACACTTCCCTATCAAAACATGGGCAGTCTGACAAAAAAATGCTAGTTACCCAGACTATTATACACTGCATCTAAAAATAACCACCCCACAAAGATGGATAGATCTGGCACTGTTGATGTATTTCAGCTGTATTCCTGCCTTGCTTAAAGAACTGAAGAATTCAGCTTTTTATGCATCAAGCTTACACCTTCATTTCTCATCTCATGAAAATTATGAACCCAATGCCTAAAATTAGCAATGGATTACTAAATAATGAATACTTACCCAATGAGAAAAAATACTAACTAACCAAATTCAGCTAATTTCTCTATCTTGATTTTTTCTTAAAATTGAATTCAAAATTAATCAAACAAGCAAAAATATAATGAAACTGGACCAAATATAAATAGTATCAGACACAAGTGAAACAGCAGCAAGACATTCTTAAAGATCCTTTTAAAGATCAAACAGTGTCACACTCCAGAACTATTTCTTAAACTTTCAAATATTAATAATTTGATACTAGCTAATAGTTCTTCAATACAAATGGGCCTTACCAAGAAAAATTCTTATTTCTTGATGCAATAGTAGTACTACAAAACTTTTTTACAACTGAGTTTCAGCAAAGCACAGTGTCATCATTATTTCTTCAACAGCTGCTTAAATATGGGACCCAAACATGACCATCTGAGGCTACAATCTAGTTTCTGTCCCCTCCTATGCCTTCCTGGGCCACATCTCACTGCTCTTTCTTCTAGTGTTACTAACCTTGCCATAATTTGACCTGCATTTTTACAGACTACTGGAAAGATATTTAGGTATAGCAACAAATAAAAATTGTAGAGTTTCTCCAAAAAGCAGGTTATTTACTCCAATCTCACCAACCAACATTTGGATTTTTGCATATAAAGAAAACAACTGACAAAAACCCAGCGAAGCAAATCTGAAGATGCTCCATGTACATAAGATTCCCACGAGATGCCACACTAATTTAAAAAAAAGGCTTCCAATTTGGTGATTGTACAAAATAAACCAGAATCTGGCCATGCTATCCATGCATGCCCTAGCCACAAACACCTCTCCCAAATTAAATTTTAAAATTCTCCACAATTTTTGAACCAACGGACACACAAGTTCCTCATTCTCTCTCCTGTTATATTGATATTTCAGTCTCCTTCTGATCAGGGCTGAAGTGTTTTTTTTCAAGACAAATTAGTGAGTTTAAGAATCACTGGTTGAGATTAAAGGATTTATGACATCCTGGAGGTCACACTACATGACACAGTAGTCACTCTGGCTTCAAACCTAACTTACGCAACTAGGAAGCTTTCCACTGGTGGAAGTGAGAAAATAAATCAGTCCTTTTGAAATAAACTAGACTTTTAAGAACTTCTGGAAACAGCAAATGAATTTAAAACATCCACTGGTTTTGTGGACACAGCAGGCAGGGGAATAGAAAATCATCTCCTTATTCTTCACCAACTAGATCATGGCAACAAGCAGTCAGTCTTCTGCCAGCATATACTGCATCCAGCTTACTGAAGTCTTCTCTGGTTTGTAGTTACATCTAATTGGGGCAGGTGGTACCCTGTCAAATTCTGTTACTGTCTGCAAATGTTGATGCTAGAATAACATTGGTAGAGAACATAGGTCATTACAAATACCTCTCTGTCAGAAATACCAAAGTTTATGCCTTTAGCAAGCAATTTCTTGTTTAGAAAAAAAAGAATTAGATTCAAATTCACCTGTTATTCTTGATGCTTTGGATGACAGAAGCTTTTGATAAAATGACTTAAATAGTTATGGGCAACACTCTGTCTTTAGTCTCTATTTCTTTACCACAAGAATCAAAATACTTTCCATAATGAAATGTTGGTTGTTCAAAACTAACCAGTAAAATCTTGGTCTAAATCCTTTCACTTTCTGTCTTAACTACCTTGACACAAATGACTGAAGATGTCAAAGTAAGCTATCAGTTCAACACCTGCCAGTGAGGACAATTTGGAAGCAGCCCAGAGACAAAGTACTTCCAGCTAGTGTGTGCTATTACCAGTAGAGATTCCATTAATCTGCTTCAAGCAATAGCAGCCTGTCACGCATATGTGAGGCCTCAGGCAATGTCAACCAAACTAAAAAAGGTTACTAATGAATAATCTCTCATCCAGTTTTCCAATTAAGTTGCCAAAATGCTAGTGGACAACTTAAATACTGTGCCCTTTGACGAGTCTCAGAGTAAATATGCATCCCATTGCACAAGCAGCAGTGATTTATACATGACATTTCATATACTTAACAGTTCTTTGGAAAAATCTAGAAACACAGACAGTAGCATCAAAGACCAAATGATGTGAAAGTAATGTTTGGTTTGCCACATCAGAAGTGTAGAAACAGCTAGAAAACATGAAAGGTTTCAATCATCTCCGGCATGCTCACCCAAATGCTCAGTTATTATTCTTAGATTCACCACTATGTATTGCAACTCCCAAAACCAATCAAGGAACACCTTAAAAGCAACATGATAAAGCAATTTAAGAAATTCAAGATTAAGTTCATCTCAAGAGTTTTATAATAAACTCATTAACAACTCCAGGAAGAATGACAAAGCAGAACAACAAGCTCATTTTGAATATTTTTGAACAATAACTATATAGTAGGAGCTGTATCTTCAGTACTTTATACGAAAAGGAACAACACTTAATTCCAAAAACCTACAAACAGTTTGCAAACATGGAGAAAGTCAAGTGTTGGTTATTTTGATATATTAAATATACATAGCTCTTATAATAGGTAATGAACTTCTATAGAGTCAGGCATAGGTTCATACCTGATCGAAAACACTCAATGATTTGTTGAATACCAGATTTTGATGTTTGCAGAGGCTGCTGCAATAAGGGAGGATCACCAGGTTCCAACCGATGCACTGAAATATATAAAAGGAAAATAAGCCATTAGAGAACACTCAGGTAATATATAATGTCATGAATTTTCTGAAACTAGCTAAAAGGAAAACCTAGGACTACAGTAAAAGCTGCCTTACTCTAAAATTTTCATTTACATAGAATTAAAAAACACTCAACATTGAATTTTTCAGCCATGATACCTTCTGGCAGTTTGCTGTCATTTTGATTACTTTAATAAAATGTGTATTCAAAGCTACATGTAACAAACAAAACAATATAAATATGTAAACCCAAATTAACTCACTAGAAATTTCCATCCATTAAAGCAATTCCCCAGGACAATCTACTTGACTCCCAGCAAAAACTGAAACAGGTGTACGAAAAAGCATTACCAAATATTGCAGTTCACAGCACAGTGTAGGACCTCAGTGTTGCCAGTACACACCTAAACACTGAATCCAAACTTAAAGTAGCAATGACAGTAGCAGAAAACAAAGCACAAGCATAACTACATAGTATATACAAAAAAGAGCTACCATAGTATTTTTAACCAACAAAACCACATGAAAGAAATGCTTCTGATTCACGCAAACTGCTGAAGCAACACTCTGAATTTCTGAAGTTTCACTCCACAGCATATTCCTTGTAAAAGCTATTGAAACTAAAACATTTCTTGATTAGGATGATTATTATTTATTCCAACATGCAGTATTTATGCACAGGAAAATTAACAGCATTCCACTGCTGTACCTGCACATGGCAATTGTGCTTTGCTGGGGCGAAACTCAAATTTATATGAATATGAGCACTTATTCAAGCATGTATTTTGCAAAATCACCAGTTAGGTCTTCTTTTTCATTCCTTACTGACAAGATAGCTAGCTTTGCAATTCATAAATTGGCTCCTACTTTATCCATTCGGTTTGGTTTTAGGCCCATTGTTAAGTCTTCATTTCTAAATGAAGCACTGAGCATCTCTATGAAAGTTATATTTATTAAAGGGCAGCAGAGGCATAGTGTAAAACTACTTAGAGATATTAAGTGCAAATACATTAAACATATTTTGACAGGGAATTTGAGCTAAAAGATGTAAGGTTATAAATAAATTCAAGCTGAAAAGAACATCAGAAAGAAACACACTCCAAAAAAGAACAATGGAATGAAAACTCCACCCAACTCTGCTGGCCCCGTAATATACTATTATATACACAAATGCATAGCAACCATTACAAATCAGCTAATCATTTGGAGATCTCTAACACAATGACATATTGTATTCTACTAGCCTACTCCCTATACTTCAAAATAGTATATTTTGTTTTGTATACTGCCTCTAATATACATGTACTACACCCACTGACATCAAGAGGAGTAATATACATGAAGCAGACCTAACACATTACTGTTGATTTGTCAGGCAAGAAAACTATTTTAGCTTTTTTAAAGCATTAGAACAATTCAAAACCATTTAATCTTGAACACAAAAAAATGTTTCTACCAACTGAAGAATAACTACTCACAAATTCCATTTAATTAAAGAAGCATAATCAAAGTTGCCATGCTCAGGCTTTCAACCATTAGTTCCCTGAAGTGATGCCTTTCTTTCCAAACAACAAGTGAAAGCATCCAAACTGCACCTTTCCTTCCAAAACACAATAGAAAGCATCTAAATAACAGAACTCATAGTTCCTTTGTTTTTGCCTTGTTGCAGTTTCCTTTAAGGTTACCAATTATAACAGCAGACAGAACAATTTTAAAAAAATCTAGCAGGTTGGCTGAACTTTCATGGTGCTCATTCCACTGATGGCATCTTTCACCTCACACAGCAGTGCAATGCAAACAGCTGTTTCAGGCTTTGGTGGGCTTTTCCTCCTCTGAGATCTTCAAGTTCATCAGAGCTCACCAGAGAAGACAAAGTAAAAACATAAACAACGAATGCAAGAGATTGCCAGGCACATCATTTTACGAAAAAATTGAGAACATGACAAATTTGGGGAAAAAAAAAAAAAGAGGCCAGTTGCTTTACAGAACTTCTTGCCTTCCTTTGCTCACTGCAAAACAGTGCCCATGTGGTGGCTTGGGGATTATTGCACATCCGGCAGGAACTGAAAAATTCTCTTCCTTAAATGATTTTAAGGCGACAGCTCAAGGATATGAAAACAAAACATTTCCAAACAAAATTCAGAAACTTTATATCCAGAACTGACACTAATGATACACATTTACAGCATCACAACAGTTCCCGCAAGCTTTTAACGAGGGAGATATGCAAACAGCCGCCGCACCACACAGCGCCGTACCTGGCTCGCAGCACCCATGGTGATGGTGTTCCGTCTGACAGCACTTGTCCCTTAGAGGCATTGTCCGTGCGCACGACCTACTTTCCTTCTACATCCAGCAGCGC